GAGAAAAAAATATCCAAAGCGAGTATAGTCCGGGCAAAACAAAAGCTAACCACGGCTAATGAGAGCTCGTTAAGATAATAATTTCCTCGTGGAAGGGAATTTCTGTATAATAAATCATTTGGTTTTTACGAATCCTTGCGTTGTCATACTTTGTGAAGTATATATCGCGGTTATAATCATTTAGTACTAGGATTCATTAGCTTTGTCACCATTTTGATTTATGTCCAAGATTAGTGCAATTAACGACCATTCTGACTCTAAACTAATAAGATAAAATTTTCTAAATTCTTATTTCTGAGGCCCTTAATCATTCTAACTTCGGTCCACGTTCATTAAGTTAGTTAAACTAGCTTTTTAACGTGGTGTTATTTTAGCAGAATTAAATGTTCTGCGTGAACTAAAGAACACTAATGTTTTGCTTCAGTGAAAGTTACGATTAATTACTGCAGACGACAAAATAAATATTTTTTAAGACTAAGAGCGGATGCTGGCACAGGCATCATGGTTCTATCTTAAAAAACAAAACAGTATGATGTTTCATCTATACATACAATACAGCAGTTTTCAATTTCCTTCCGAAATGTGCATACCATTTACCATTTTGACGCGAATATCCGCTCATAAATCGAATAACGTCGATCCGTCAGTTCGTCAAGCATTTAGCGTCGATACGTCGATACTGCGAATAAACTACATTCATATTTAAATGTATTCAACATCCTTTATTATTCATCCAACGAAGACTTTCCGGTACAAGGAATCGCTTTTTCCCAACCATTATTGTACGAGAATGCGTCGGTAGATAAATCTTTTTCAAGTTTAATGCAAAAATTGTGTTTATGCGTCAGAGCAGGATAAGTTGAGGTTCTTCATTCTTGTGTAATATATTCATTTTAACAAGTCTCGCCGTATTACTCTTGTATGAATTGACTTACGACGGAACACCAGCTAATGGACTCAACCCGTTTCTTGCGAAAGGTTGTGTTTTTGATGCGGAATATGATGGAGAATGTTATAATGGAAATGCATTATTTTATGCGAAGATTTCGAAAAGGGTTGTGTTTTCTTTTATCTTGATATTTTCAGCGAAAAATGGTTTTTCTTCTTGTATTTATGGAAACATTCGACTCATACAATAATGGAAGCAAGGCAAAATTCAAGTCATAAGTCAGTCATAAACCCAGAAATAGTTAACAAACAATTAAACTAAGTGACCTGAAAATCTCTGCTACAATTATTTCCAAGAAATTACTTTAGACCGGAAAATAGAGAAACAAGCAACCCAAATGGACCCTAAGGGTCTCGTCTTAACAACTTAACATATTGTAGGATTTCGAGACAAGTAGTGAGATAGTTTTGTCCTTTACAAGATGGCTGTAATCCTAAGTCCCTCTGCACATAGCCCAGTATAACCTCTTTGGGGGCTTTGTGGGCCGCTAAGCAATCAATCTCTTTCTATTCTGACGTCACAGGTGTCAAGGTTACTCATGAACTGTTGCTCCTTTTATATTGATGTTGTAGTCAAATGTTGGTATTAGTATTATTACGTTATATCCGGTGAAGACTAAAAAGTCTCTTTTATAAAGGAAGTTTTATTTATCGGAGTTAATAAATAAAAATTTACAACTTCGTTTCAAAACAAAACACTTTTAAAATTTTTAATCATTTTTATTATTGTTAGTCGTTAAGATCTGAAGAAAATTCTGTATTGTGTCCATTAAGAATTACACCAGCATTGTCAGTTTATGACATTTTTAATGTCCCTGTTAATTTGGATCCATATTACCATTGCCCTACTGTATAGAGAGAAAAATTGTAACATTATAGTGGTCCGGAGGTGTAAGACGCCCTCTTGCATGCATGAGAGTGCCGGAGTGGGGGTTTCGAAACCTTTCAACTGCAAGTACCAATGTGACTTTTTCCGAGTTATATTTAATTTCTACGATTATCTAGACCACTGACAAATGGCGAAGGAAATCATTGCGAGGGAACATGGGCTTATAATTTCTAATTATACATAAATTTTAAATCGCCAACTCGCACCCGCAAGCGTGGTGATTATTGCTCAAACCTTCATCGTGCCAGAAGAGGCCTTTGCACAGCAATGGCCACTTATAATAGGCTGTTGATGATGGATAATACAGAATAATATTAAGAAAACAGAGTATTATATAAGATTCTAATAAAGATAGTTTTACAGTAACATTAGGACGTATTCATCAATCATGGCTTTAGTTTACGTATGAAGAATATGCGGGTTATATTTTATTCGCTCGTTAAACAAACATTTTTTCAATGAAAAATATTGCGGCAACGTCTACTATGAATACGGTTATACCGATCATTTGTTACATACCTATCGGAATTATTTACAATACTTGATTTATTACAGCATGCTCTAGAAGGATTTTTATAAGCAAACTAGCTTTTATCCCCGTCTTTGCCCACGTCATCATCAACCATTTTTTCGTCTTTGCCCACGTATTTCTCTTTAATCCCATGGGAGCATTTAATCGAGATAAAAAGTCTGCCCATGCCCTGCCTGTATACCAAATTTCAGCAGAATCAGTTCAGTAGTTCCAGCATGATTGACGAACATTGAAACCTTAGTGATAATATTTTTTGACAAATTTAATTTATTTCTTGACAATTTCAATTTTTTCTTGACAATTTTAATGTATTTCCTGATAAATTTGATAATTTTAATTGACATAATTTTGACATACCTTATTTTTATTATTTTATTATTATTGTACAAATTTAACTGAAATTGTGATATTCTAATAATGTTTCAAATGCATGTACCTAATATATTTGTATGTCTATCACGGCAAAACATAGTGGACTATTATACTAATATGTAAGACCTTATTATGTAAACTACCTATGTTTAACAAATAAATGATTCTGATTCTGATTCTGAAACAAAGAAACTTTCACGTCTATATGGTAGTGTGATAACGTACTTAGAAAAAAGGTCTTACTCACAAAATTTTAAGGCAATCTAAACAGTCAGACGTTATGAGTTAATAAAAAAATTGTCTTTACTTCGTCAAAGTCTTACAACATTGATACAATTGCCAGCTACTAGAAGTAAGAAATAATATAGAGTTAATTCCCAGAGTTGAGTGAAATATCATTACATTTTTTATTCCTAATTCTTTGCTTAAAATATATTAAATTACGTGTACCTACTTAACATTAAGAAAATTAAGCTGATAAGTAAACACTGTAGCTACAATTTACATTTCTATAAATTATAAAAGACCTACTAAATACACAAAAAAGTCTAATATTACATAAAAATAATATCACTGACATTTCCTCAGTGATATCAAAGCCTTACTTAAACTTTTATGAATACATATCATAAATATGTATACAACTAAAAGCTTCAGTATAATAAATAATCGCACAATAATATGTAAGAATGTTGTGACTTCACTTTGATGATAGATGTCTCTAATAGCTCTTGATTACGTCCAGAGTCCCTTGTATCACCATTATAGGTACTATGCTAGCTACTGGCTACTCCGTTTTATCCGCTGCTCGGCTTTTAGGCCGAGTCCTGAGTCGCGGCCGATCGCGCAAGCGGTATACGCCGCGCACGATATTCCGAACGCCGTTTCGTTCGCGGTGGATTCCGCTTCCGTGATCCGCCGTGTCTCAGAACTCAGCCTTATTGATGGCAGTGAGATGTTTTATAGCCTATAGCCGTCATCGATAAATGAACTAGGTCTCCAACATAAAAATATTGTTTTAATCAAAGCAGTGGATCAAACAAACATACACCTCACTTTTATATACATAGTTCCAGACATTATGTAATAATGTCGTTAGTTTATTTTGATGATACATGTACCTAATAGCTGTAGATTACGTCCAAAGTCCCCTAGAGCACCATTATACTATATTTTTCTTGCCAACAAAATAAAGGCATAAATCAAAAATGTTCCAAGAATGAATTTGAAGTTTTTTACGCACTACAAAGATGGCGGCGATAAAAAATATTAGTTTCACTAATGCTGTTAAGTTTTTGAAGCAAAAATGATATAAAATTTGAAATGTTGCAAAATACGTAAGCGATTCATGTTATATAAAAAGTGTTTGCGAATGTAATTTTTTGTTTAATGACAAAAGGCTAACGTGAAAGAAATAACAAAAGTGACATATTGATTTCATGTAGTTATATTACAAAATATAAGAATAACGAAATGTTTTTACGATAAAATTACAATTAGATTTATTGTAACCATTTTGATTAGTAAAGATCGGAATCCCAATAACAAAAGGTACGTACAATGTTACACTCATGAAATTGCTTTAATTAAAACAATTTTGATGAAACGGTAGCCCATAAATAATTCAAGGATTTGAACAATTTGGAAAATATTTTACAAAATTGTTCTAGCATTTAGTAATTAGTTTGACATCAATCAAAATGGATTAATGATTTTATCGGTGTTCAATTCCATCGATACAGTTTAGAATAATGACAGTAAAATGTTAGAAATTTTCTTTATTGGTTATTCGTTTGTTACCGAACATTGTTGTTGAACATGTTACCGCAATCTAAAATTAGTGCGAGCCGAAATTCTAAAGTGACTCCAATAGACATTCGTCCTAAACGAAATAATTTTGTTCCGAAAAGGCCTGTTTCGTCGATCCAAGCAATAAAGTACCAAATATGTGCTGCATTACTGTTTGGGATCAACAGATTATACCTCCTAAATCCCAACAGATTTGTTCTAATCTTGAGTTTGGCCCATACGATTTTCATGCCGATTTTGGTCTGGGGTATTATGTTTAATGCTGACGAATTATCCGCTACGTACTTCGTCTTCAAGTATACGTGCTGCGTTGAATATATTTTGCTCATAACTATTTCTTTATTCACAAGCAGAAATAAATTGAGGAGTCTTTTTCAGGATCTTGATAAATTTGATGAGATGTTGAACATCAGTAAAGATTTGAATATTGTCGATTCTGGTTATGCGAGCTTGTTTTGGTTGTCTGGCTGTTTGTTTTACAGTTTATGTGAATATATTGGATGTTATTTTTATTTGTCGTTCTTTATTGATAGAACTGTCTACTGTTTTTATATAATGATGCTGAGTCACGATTGTGAGCAGATCTTGTTCTTCGTTCTTTTAAGAACCATTTACGCTAGGCTTTCTATTATAAAAGCGCACGTTTTGAAGGTGTTTTCTACGGAAACCAGAACGGATAATTATAGAAGGAAGTTGAATAAAGTTGAAGCGCTGTCGAACAATGCACAGCTTGATATTAGTTCTTTGCACCGGGTCTACGATTTGCTTCACAAGTGCGCCGAACAACTTAACTCCATTATGAGTTTGTCGGTAAGTTTCACCAAGAATTATTTGTTAATTGGAATTTGAAATAAACCTTTTAAATAGTTATTTAATCACACTAATACATTTTTTAATTCAGAATAATGATGTATAGAATGTTAATCGGTACAATTTTTTCAGATGATAGTAATATTATTGACTGCGGGTCTATCAACGACAATGCTACTGAAAATGATGGTCAAAGTTATACAAACAGTCACCGTCAGCAATACTGTGAGTATTAGCATAGATTTTACGTATGTACCTGTATCATAATTTTGAAACCACGCAATTAACTTTCAAATTAATTTTATTCAATCACATTTTTAGACTGCCTCGTTGGCCGAGTGGTTGCAAGTACGACTGCCGGGCAAGGGATCTCGGGTTCGATACCAGGGTCAAGCAAAGTATTACTGGGTATTTAAAAATTCTCAGTAGTAGCACTAACTCTGGAATTGTGCCCGGTATACGTCTGGTTGGTCGGAGGTTTTTTTAAATCCCAGTTATACTTTGACCGACCCTGAAATCGCACCCTAATCCTCTTGTCCGGCAGGCCTCATGCGAACACTCGGCCAACGAAGGAGTCATTACTTATTCACATAATATAGACGCATTATTTACTCATATAATATAGAACAAACGCACAGATAACTAACAGACCAAATGGTAAGGTTTAAAGTCAATATTTGTTCATAAATCCGCTAAGGGGTAATCCCAAGAGTGGTTTTCATGTTAAACATAGCTCCCCTCAGCTATGATCATCACTCCGAAATAAAAGAGGAGGCGATGTTCGCTGGCGACCTTTTAACATGATCTAGGTCAGAAGGCTTGGCAACAGTACTAATAAACGATAGTAAATATAGGGTGCTATTTTTGTCCCCTATATTGGATGTTTTGTGCAATGTAAACTAGTGTTTATACCTGTACAATGTATAGGAGATTACCTATGTATATCTATACAGGCAAATAAAATTGAAGCGTCTATTTATAATATTGAAATAACAACTTTTTATAACGTGCGTATGTATATATATGTGATACATAAACCAAAATAGCACTTTTTACAATTTTTGTCTGTCTGTCTGTCTGTTTGTTTGTTTATCAATACATAGTATAAAACAAAGTCGCTTTCGCTGTATGTCCGTATGTATGCTTAGATCTTTAAAACTACGCAACGGATTTTGATGCGGTTTTTTTTAATAGATAGAGTGATTCTTAAGGAAGGTTTGTATGTATATACATATTGCACCCGTGCGAAGCCGGGGCGGGTCGCTAGTACTAGATAAAATAAAAATAGTAATATAATATTTGTGTAGAGGTAGTGTGTTTGTATTGGGTCAGATGTACAATGTTATTTATGTGACAAAACGACAATTATTCCCGTAATTCATACCAGTCACAGTACAATAACCGATTTGGAAACAAATAATACAATATTAGTCACTTTCCTGGACTAACTCAAGTTCACATTCGCGACTTAGTCAATGAAGCTCTAATTTTAATTCTTTAGCTCTAAGGTATCTAACAGTTCATGATAATTGGACCCTGTTAAGCAGGAAAGATCCAGCCCACATTTGAGTAAATGGAGTTTAATGTTTGTCATATAATAAAAAAATTATAATATGACAAAGTACCTATTGAATAGGTACTGTATCATATTATGATTACTTTAAACGTCATTCATTTAGTCAAAATTAATAAAATGTGGACTGAATATTTTCTGCTTAACAGGGTCCAATTGCACATGCCTATACTATACTACGACACTGATTACAGTTCGGCAAATCAACAATCATATACTTATTTGGTCGTGGCATGAAGTTCACGGGCCTGGTGGTGGTTCCCTGCTACTACTCGAGAGTGACTTCATCTCAAGTTGCTGCTATACGGACGTGTCTGCATGATGCTGTGAATTCCAAACCTTTAGGTAAGGTATATTGGAGAGAATTGAAACGATTTTTTGGAAAGATGTAGTCAAAAGTAGAATTTATTTCTTCCTGGTACGAGGGACTAGATAGACCGCGAGCTGCTGGATGCAGATAGCTTCCAACCGGTCTATCTGGAAGATATTGAGTACGCTTATGTTCAGCTATGATCGTCTTATGACTTATAATAATGATGATTCATTGATTACCTCACGATAGCACATCCATCCCTATCATATAGATAGTTGGCAGGCCACAACTGTGTGCTTCTCACGTAGCTTTCTGCCTCGCACAGCAAAACTGTGGAATGATCTGTCGTCGGTGGTATTTCCGAACCGATACGACCTTCTAATCTTCAAGAAAAGAGCGTACTCCGTTTTGAAAGGCCGGCAACACACCTGTTAATTTTTCTGGTATTGTGAGTGTCCATGGGCGACGCTGATGGCTTATCATCAGGTGATTCGTATACTCGTTTGCCTCCTATATCATAAAAAAAACTATTACACTGAGAAAAACTCTTACTAGTTTCAATCTCCTCAGGTTGAGGTCGAGGTTGTCAGGTCCTGAGGTCCTTATGTGAGGAGGTTTTGACTTTCCCAATAAGGAAGAATCCCTCTGTGACTCGAAACTAGTAGAGCTTTTTTCTGTATATTAAAGTTAGTAAAACCGTTATGTTTATTTAATTCAGTATAATCCATTGAAGTCGTAGAACTAATGCTCGTCCAACACTAAATACTCCAACTTCAGTAGACATACCCCTACAACGCTGAAGCACTTCGCAATTCCAGTCTAAATGTTCCTCCACAAATTGTATAGGCTCGCATATTTCCACAAATCATTGAAGTTATTTCTTTTCAGATAAAATCGAGCGTCGTAAAGTGAAAGCCTTCTTTCAGCTGACACGGGAGAATGAATTCACTTACGCCCTGGGAGGAGTGATTAGACTCAATATGTCTTTGCCTCTGAGTTATATGAGCCTCTGTACAACTTACCTAGTTATTTCTATACAGTTTTCAAAGTTTTTCGACTAAATAATCTGTAAATAAAGTTAAATGTGTAGAAAAAGTACCTTTTTGCTGTTGTTTTAGAAGCAAAAAATGGCCATATGTTTTGATTTTATGGAAACAGAACCATTAAATTATATTGTTACAAACAAACTATTAAAAGTTATTATTTAATTCTCAGTAACGAGAAGGAAACTATAGTAAATAATTATGGATTGAATTTAAAATACAATAATTACAGCTTTAGTTGCGTTTAATTTATCAGAAACAAAACACGAAGAAACTAAACACTTTCATTATAATTAACTGAAGAGTTATTAGCATTCCAATGATACGTTAATTACTAAAGTAACTCAGTAGCAATTAGTTCGGATGTCACTCGTCGCACGTCCCACTCAAATATTTAGTTAGTCCGAGCTCGTTTTTAAAACGAAAGCGTCATTAAGAACGCTGTTGACTGTTATGAAGGGTCGAATGGCCTTACAAATTGCATGAAACACGTTCCCTCTTGATTAACTTTCACAAGTACCCGCACTTGGAATGCTAATAAAATAAAATTGGCTACCATCGATACAGTTTCAACTGAAACTAAAAATGTTTTTAAAACCATAAAATTTAAAGGTTTAACCGCTCGTGTTAGCGTAATAGCCTATCAGCTATCGAAACCGATTTACTCTCATCACATTCGATTGACGAGAATGTAGCGATGCGAATTTTCGATTTTCGTCTACGAATTTTCGTTAACCTGCGCCATAATCGTTGGAAGTCGAGAGATTCGATATAGGGAACGAATGGAGGGTTTCAAGGCAGGGGAAAAATTAGTGAGATAACATTCAGCTTTATTGCCCGCCGTCCGTCTCCGCCAAAATTCAGGGGTGACGTAAATGGCCCAAGAGACTTGCTTTTTTATCGCCCGGAGTGGGCAACTTGAACACTGAAGGGGTTTTTTTGGCAACAACAAAATATTATTTAACCCTTGGAACAGTCGGGCCGGGCCGTACTAGGAGCGTTTTGTACAAAATATATACAAAAATTTTCTCCATTTATATTTCTTCGTAAAGGTTATTTTAAGATCTCATTTGGTAACAAATGTTGTATTGATAATAGAACACAAAGCGGTATTGCTTAAATTATTGTCTGTATATGAGAGGCTTCAAGAGCTACCTGTGTCTCGTGCTAAATATATTTCACCTTACCTTACCTGAGTTAAATTATTTAGTTTGTTGTTAAATGGTAGGTGGGTGTTTCTAAATTTGAAAAGATTTTTAAGCTTACCTATTTTATTTGAAAATAATGCTGTACAATGTCGAATTCATAATTATAATTCATTGCCGAGACAATCTACTCACTTAATAAGTGTATAATACAATAATATAATAATATATTATATTATTATACTAATAATATATCTACTATATTAATAAGTATTAGTATAGTAGATATACACCAGGTAGACACAATTTCTGTGAAACTGCTATTGGAGAATTTTAAACCAAACGAGACAAGTTACACCTTTCAAATATAAATTGTTCTGCGAATTTCAATATTTCTATCGACAATACATTACATCTGCATTAAAAATAGATAAAGGGAGATACAAATATTTATAAAATATCAAAGGATCGGCCACAAAGCTGGATTCGAGGACATTCAACCCCATTGCTGGTAAAAACTTATCTTAATCCTGCTGTCTTCAGTAATATAAATGCGAAATGTTTATTCTATATCTACAGCCATGTTAGTTCGGTTTTTGTCAGTGCTCAACTGCAATGCAAGAGATGATTAGGTTCTTTATGCTTTGATAAACGTTTGCTTCTTATTTCTCAACTAGCTGTTGCCCACAACTTCGTCCGAGTAGAATGTAAAATTTAGAATATTAAATTTAAAATATCAAAATAAAAGTAGCCTATCTTACTCCTTATAACATCAGCTACCTGCCAATAAAACTCTTGAAAAATCGGTCTAGCCATTCCACAGATTAGCCAGTACAAACAGACAGACAGACAAACATTGTAAAAACATGATAATCAAAATGTAATTTTGGTATGTGTATCATATGTATATTCATATGCGTGTAGTAAAAAGCGGTTACATATTTTAATATTACAAACTATTGGAAGAATGTAAACATCGCCCATACTCAAAACACTGTAGTTCAGTTTATAGCAATACTGCGTCACTGTTAAAAACTAACTTGTCTATTCCTTTTGTCTCTGTAATACTTGATACTCGTGCAATAAACCGAAGTTTAATTTGTTAACTCTAATAATCGTTTTATTCATTTCCTATACAAACATAGGTACACTCGAATTTTATCTGTATCTTTTATTGGTTTTCAGCTGTATAGCTTTCCAAATTAAATTATTTTGTGCAACTTTTTGTTTCGAATCAATAGGGTATTTTACTGTATTCGAGAAAAAATTTAAAACTATATTATTGAAATAGCTTAGGCAAAAGGCAATCGGTAAGTGTAGTTTTAGTTCATAAAATAACAAAAGGAATTTTTAAATTCAATTCAAACTTTTCAGGTTTTTTTATCTGTTCTATATTACCACAAAATAGCAACCATCTTGTTATTACGTCATTCGCCTATGTAAACAAAAGTGACAGCGTGACTTGTGTTTTCTTGAATGAAATCTGGAGGGTACGCAATCAGGTTTCAATCGAATCCTTTTTACTGAACCCATTAATTTATACTTCAGGTAATTTTCCATGTCGTGTTCCAACTGAAATATAAGTCGTAAGTGAAATATTAGCATAAGTTTTATTTTTAT